GCCCAAAAAGGCTTGCAGCTCTCTTGGACTTGGGGCTTGGGGCCTGTTGAATAGCTTGTAGTTTAGCTTCAGCAGGGTGAAGACAGCCCTTAACCTTTCTGCTAAATTTTGAGATGACTCCCCAGCAATGAGGACGTCATCAAAGTAGGGACAGACCCCAGGAATACCTCGAAGTGTGCTCTCCATGACACTTTGGAATATGCCAGGGGCTACATTTACCCCAAATTGCAGTCTCTTGACCTTGAATGCCCCCCTGTGAGTTACAATAGTCTGGGCCTCTGCAGCTGCCTCATCAACAAGTAGCTGTTGATAGGCCTGTGCCAGGTCAAGCTTCGCAAAAATGCGCCCCCCCTTGAGGGAAGCCAGGATGTGACTTACCACAGGCACTGGATAAGCGTGCTGTTGCAGTGCTTTATTCAGTGTGCACTTATAGTCTGCACAAATACGTATTTCCCCATTAGCCTTTAGACGCGTTACTATGGGGGTTTCCCATGGACTAGAATCCACAGGCGCTAGAATGCCCTGCTGGAGCAATTTGTCCAGCTCAGCATCAATCTTGCCTTTGAGGGCAAAGGGTACCCTCCTCGGCTTAACCCTAATGGGCGTGATTGTTGGGTCTAACCGTAACGAAATGGGAGGCCCCTTGTAGGATCCTAGCTCTGAACTAAACACATCTGCAAACTCCTTGCAGACTTCTGCAAGGTCCAGCGTTTGCAAGCTGTGCAGCCCAGTTACCTGGATTCCCAGAGCCTTGAACCAATCGAGTCCAATAAGACTCGTACGTTCACCCCCAACAACCACCACATCTAGGGGACCTTCAAAATCCTTATACTGTACCCTAAGGGTGGCCTCCCCCTTAACGCACACCATAGAATTCTGAAAATCAGTGAGTATTATATTGGATGGCCTGAGTTTAACTCGAAGGCCACTACAGCTACAAATCTTTTTAAAAGTAGTAATTGAAATAATGGAAAGAGCGGACCCTGTGTCCAACTCCATCCGTAAGGGAACTCCTTGCAACTTTACGTTAATGGAAAGTTTCTTCTTAAGGGGCTTGTGTGTCCCTGTTCTTAGAATACTCCTGCGCGATGCGCAGAAGCCCACCCTGTTTTGGCTGGGGACCCTGGTACCTTTCTGAAGTAATTCTTCCCGAGGTTGAATCTTCTGGCGACCCAAACAGACGGATGCAATGTGGCCTTGCCTGCCACACGCCCTGCAAATGGCAAAGCGAAACCTGCAGTCAGCTCGCTTGTGGCATCCTCCGCACCCGAAGCATTGAAGCGATGCTGGGGCCTTGACCGGACATCCCTTCTGCCTTCTCTCCGCTGGCTGATGGAGTCTGTCGACCTCATCAGGATCCTCCTCTAATCCTTCTCGAGCGTCCTCTTGATGGATGGTAGCTGTGTCAGGAGGATTCTTGGCAAGGCGCTAGGCCTTCACAGCCCCGCCTGCTGCTTCCTCAGCTGCTACCTCTCGCAACGCATCTTGGAAGGAGACATCTTCTTTTGCAAACAGCTTTTGCTGTAAGTCTCTGCTCCTTAAGCCACAGACAAATCTATCTCGCAGCCTCTCTTCCAGATCCTTGAACTCACATGGTCTGGCTGCTTGCCTTAAGGCCGCAATAAAGTCCGCAGCAGATTCACCCGGCCTCTGGTCTCTCTGCTCGAATGCGTGCCTCCAAGCAATGATGGATAACTTCGACTGGAAATGCTCCCTCAACATTTTCTTCAAGTCAGCTTATGTTACTGACTCCAGAGGTGCAGGGGCCACCAGATTTTCTGCGATGTCAAAAGCTTCTTGTCCACAGGCACACAAAAGAGTTGCTGCCTTTAGGCTGTCTTCTCTAATCTGATTTACTCTGAAGTAGTTCTCCACCCATGCTACGTAGGAATTCCATCTCTCTGGGTGGGAGACATCAAAATCAGTCAAGCGGCCAATCTTCGACATTGTAAACTTTACGACCTTCACCACTCGCTTCCTCTGCAGGCTGTGAATTGGGGAAAGGGTTCTTTAGGCGAGCTCAACCTCCAGCGACGCTGTACTGGCAGGCTGGGACGCTGATTCAAACGCCGTCTTCCCCTCTTCAGACTTCCTGGGTAAGTCTTAAATCTTTTCTTTAGCTTGCAAAGGAATCCCATCCTCATCACCAGGGTTGTGTACTTCGTTCACGAGCGAGTAATGGCAATGTTAAACAAAACACTTTATTCTCTTCCACAACAACCGAGCAAAAGCAAAAGGCACGCAGCCTTTTTATATGGCCAGAAGCCCGAACAGTGTCAACCAATAGGAACAGAGTGTTTCGCGCCTTGCACGTGCGCACAAGGCCAGCGCCGCTCTGTGTGGTCCCAGGCAGCTTTTGGAATGCCCGGGACCAATGCAACGTCCCGAGCCTGCTTTTGCAGGCTCAGGACACAACAGTTTTACTGTATTATTTCTCCAGAATTGTTCTAGTTATTAAGGTCAGAACTATAAACATATTTGCAAAGTATTCAATTTGCTTGCTGGAATATGTTTATTTTGTGTTCTAGTAGCCTGTAAAATATAGCATATGGAAAAACAATTTGAAGATACTTTTGAGAAATGTAATAGTTGGACATCTATACATCTGGATTTAGGAATTCCACACAGCATGAATAGGAATATTAAAAATACAGGAATGTAGCATGCTATAAATTTTTATAGGCAACTTCTCCATCCTGGTATGCATATATCATATTTATCCAAATACATTTCAATTAAAAGTGGGCTTTCCTCATACATTATGGTTCATGTTTATACATGCTTGCTCAAAAAAAATCCATGTCCTGGAGAACTAAAGGAACTGTATGGTTTCAGATTCAAAAAGTGATGCATTGTTATTTGTTTTACATTGTACAAAGGAAAGTAATATCTTTCTATCTGCATATGTATAATATTTATTATCATGCTCATTTCAATGTACCTGTATGTTTTCAAAATATTTGAATTTCACCTGATGCTAATCTTTTCCTATTTTGTATTATGTGATCAAGATCTTTATTCTTACAAATAAAAGAAGACTGTGTATGAGCAAGAACAAAAGTTTATTCATCTTTAAAGTACAAAAAAAATCACCCTGCATTAATGGATAGAAAATACTTTATGAAAACATCTGCGGTTTTGGACTATAGTAACATTTCCACTAAAGTAGAACTGATATGTGCCAAAATTCAAAAGATTTTCCACTGAATTAAAAATACAATTTATCTTGTACTATTTTCTCACTGAAAGTTAAGATTTCCCAGTAAAAAAAAATGCATCTGTTTCACCTTGTTAGGACAGATACATACAATAGCAGGAAAGGAGAACATAGCAAAGCTTTTCAGAACAACGACTCAGCGAACACCTACAGGCAAACAAAGTCATTACTAAAAACCAACATGGGTTTGTCAAAAACAGATCATGCCAGACAAATCTTATTGCATTCTTTGACCAGGTGACAAAATTAGTGGACCAGAGGAATGCTGTGGATATAATTTACTTGGACTTCAGTAAGGCATTTGACAAAGTAGATCACAACCTACTACTTGATAAGATAGAAAAATGCGGGTTAGACTGCATCACCACCAGATGGATCCGTAGCTGGCTGACCGGCCGTACTAGCATGTGGTCCTCAATGGAACCGCATCTACATGGAGGGAAGTGTGTAGTGGGGTGCCCCAGGGCTCTGTTCTGGGCCCAGTGCTCTTCAACATCTTTATCAACGATCTGGACGAGGGGATGAAATTCAATGGTGAAAAAAGTAAGGTTTAGGCAAGAAAAACCAAATGTACGGGTATAGTATAGGGGGTACCTTGCTCAATAGTAGTAATTGCGAGATGGATCTCGGAGTCCTAGTGGACAATCATTTAAATATGAGCCAGTGGTGTGCTGCAGCTGCCAAAAAAGCCAACACAGTACTAGGCTGCATTAACAGAGGGATAGAATCAAGATCATGTGAAGTGTTAATACCACTTTAGAATGCCTTGGTAAGGCCACACTTGGAATACTGCATCCAGTTTTGGTCACCACGATGTAAAAAAGATGTTGAGACTCTAGAAAGAGTACAGAGAAGAGCAACAAAGATGATTAGGGGACTGGAGGCTAAAACATATAAGGAACGGTTGCTGGAATTGGGTATGTCTAGTTTAACGAAGAGAAGGACGAGGGAGGACATGATAGCAGTGTTCCAATATCTTAGGGGCTGCCACAAAGAAGTCAGGCTATTCTCCAAAGCTCCTGAAGGCAGGACAAGAAGCAACAGGTAGAAACTAACCAAAGAGAGAAGCAACCTAGAACTAAGGAGAAACTTCCTGACAGTTAGAACAATTAACCAGTGGAACAACCTGCCTCCAGAAGCGGTGAATGCGCCAACACTGGAAGTTTTTAAGAAGAAACTGGACAGCCATTTGTCCGAAATGGTATAGGGTTTCCTGTCTCAGCAGGAGGTTGGACTAGATGACCTCCAAGGTCCCTTCCAACTTTATCATTATTATTATTATTATTATTATTATTATTATTATTATTATTATTATTATTATTATTATTATTATTATTATTATTATTATTATTATGGACCTTCACGAATTCAAGATTCAGCTTCTCTTTTTAATTAAGACATGAGGCAGTCAGATTTGTTTAACATGAGGGCAAGGAATTTATGATAGAGTATCAATCTGAGGCTGAATGTCCAACACATTGCTTATTTATAACTCAGGAAATGTTTGAAGAATTACAAACAACAATGTACAGAAAACATTTTTCTTCTGGAAGGCTTCCTCTCCTTTGGATAATCTGTTGAAGCCAAAGGATAGGAAGGACTAAAGTAAAAGGGGTACAGAGAAAGGATGCTGTTACCTCTCTAATAAACCCACACTCTCCTTCTCTCTCTGACATCCCTCTCTTTTGTCTTTTTTGTCAAGCTATCGTCCATGTGAAAGGAAGAAAAAAGTTTTTGTTCAATGTATTTATTTGTAACAAAAAGCAATATTAAAAAAATTGTCTGCACTTCTGCATGCATCTTACAAAACAAAAAACATTTCTACATCTAGTTTTACTAAAGATAAATATACAGTTGTCTGAAATATCATCTTCTGTTTTGTTTTTTGAACAAAATATATATTTAGGTGTTGTAAAGCAATATCAAGTTTTATTCATTTTGTAATCTATATTAAATGTTCTTTGTTCAATCACATAATTCTTTCAATATTCCCAAAGTAGATAATCTGAAAGCATGGAAATACAATGGCATTAAAAATGAAACAGAAATCTCACTGTATTGTGATACAATTCTGAGTACATCACTGTATTCACATTATTCCATAAGTACAACAGGATTTATTAAGGTAATTGGGAACAAGAATGTAACTTCAGTCTATCAGCAAAAAAAAAAAGTCATCAGAAAACAAATTCTTATGGACTAAGAAGTTGACAATACACAGGCTGATCTCCAAAATGCCAAATATGTTGGTTTTTAAAATGCCACAAGAATGCTTGTTGTTTAAAATGTGCATTCAAGCAAATATGAATTGTACAGATTTTCTCTGTGCAACAAAGAATTTAAAAACCTGTTTCATCTGAAGATGGGAATTTATATTTGATTCATTCTACTTTTTTCTTATTTAGTGCATAGCTAGGCATACAGTTTATAAATTTTCACACTACGGTGATACCACACATAAAGCATCACATTCTTCTTGAGTTTCAAATCTATTTTTATTTCCACCACAGCCACCATACCAGAACTGGAAGCACATATTTCTCTGTTTATGGTAGTACCACTTCAGAGTATAATTTTCACACTCCCCAATGTCCGTGTCTTTTGAACAAGCATCTATAAAATAAAAATGCTTTGTGGTTAGTGACATGAAATCAAGGTACTTGTATAGAAACAATAAAGAATGTTGCATTGGAAGCCTTATATAAAAAGAAGAACTGAAATAGTGATTTATGGGTCAGAAGTAAAAAAGAGTTAAGGAGACGAGAGTAAGATGAGAGTAAGATCACTGAACTGGGGGGGAAAGACAGAAATCAAATTTCTATGTTTCATATTTATTTACTTTTTATCTTTCTGGCTTCTCTTTTCATTTTTTATATTCTTATTGTATTGTAAGATTTAATAACTGGCTATAGCAAGGATGGGCAAGGCCCTTTTGTGCAGCTGCAATAATTTTTACTGCAACTTATGACTCAAAGACAAACAAGCTGCTGTGTAGAACTATGTCCCACACACCCTCTCACTGCTTTTTTTTATTTCTTGGCATCATGGAAAAAAAGAGTCCATTGAGTCCACAAATATAGAGATGTTAGCTTATCTTTGGCTTGATATGGGTTATTAGCTGTGCAGGTCTTCTCAGCTGTCAAACCCACTTTTGTTTCCATTCCACCTTCTACAACTCCATCCTAATTTATTATTGTTATTTTTCATTCCCCATTTTAGTCCAAGGATTTTCAAAGCAGCTTACACACAAATTACAACATAAGAAATTAATGAGTTTAAAAACAACCCCAATAATGAAGTTCCTTAAAGACAGTACAATGTAGGACTAAAAAATATTATTTCTTAATAATTAGAACATAAAAGGAAACTCAACATTAGAAAACCTTTCTTTAAAAACCATGCTAAGGTTGGTGCACTAGAATTGAAAAGGCCCCCTCATCTTCATTTCTGATGATGGAAAAATCCAGACACAAGTAAGTCTTCATCACTTCCATTTCTGGCAGATAGAAATACTCTCTGCACTTGGAACCAGAATCAGTATCCTTATTTCAAGCCTGGCAAGACAGTTTGAGAGAGAGATTCCACATTTTTTTCTATCAGCTCTTGAAATGTATCAAAGAAAAAAAGAATTGTGCAGAATTTTTCCCGGATGGTGTAAATCCCTTACTTAATTCATCTTGAGATAATTAAAAAATATTTCTGTGTAATGTCCTGTCTTGCCTTGTATACTCAATTCTCCAGTGACATACAGCTTCCTGACTTTTCTATACTTTAATTAGGTTTTCCGTCTAGCATAAGTTTTATCTCTTTATGAAACAAAAAGACTTTATATAGTCATTTGCTTTGATTTTAAAAAAAGCAAAGTATGGCAGCATAAGATATTAAGCATGAATGACATCATCCCAGCAAGCTTTTTGGATGTTCAACAGTTCCTTTGAATACATTTCTTACCATATTTGTTCTGTAGCATTTTCAATAGGGAGCTCTTAATGTCTCTCTCTCTCTTTTTTTTTAAAAGAATAAAATAGAGCTGGAAGGGACCTTTGAAGTCTTCTAGTCCAGCCCCCTGCTTAAGCAGGAGAACCTATACCATCTCAAACAACTGACTGTCTAGCCTCTTCTTAAAAATCTCCAGTGATGGAGCACCCATGATTTCTGGAGACAAGCTGTTCCACTGGTTAATTGTCCTCATTGTCAGGAAGTTTCTCCTTAATTCCAGGTTGCTTCTCTCTTTGACCAGTTTCCAACTATTGTTTTTTGTCCTGCCCTAAGGTGCTTTGGAGAATAGTTTGACCCCCTCTCCTTTCTGGCAGCCCCTCGAGTACTGGAACACAGCTATCATCTCTCCCCTATTTCTTCTTTTCTTTAGACTAGCCAAACCCAAGTCCCGAAGCCATTCTTCGTATGTTTTAGTCTCCAGAACTTTGATCATCTTAGTTGCTCTTCTCTGAATTTTTTCCAAACTCTCAAAATCTTTTTTGTGTTATGGTAAGCAAAATTGGCTGCAGTATTCCAGGTGTGGTCATACTAGGGTTTTATAAAGCGGTACTAATACTTCATGTGATCTTGATTCTATGCCTCTGTTTATACAATCCAGGATTCTTTTAGCTTTTTTGGCGGTGACTGCACACTGCTGGCTCATGGTTAAGTGATCGTCCACTAGGATTACAAGTTCCCTCTCACAATTGCTGTTTTTAAGCCAGGTCTCGCCTAATCTATACTTGTATCTTTGATTTTTCCTGCCTAAATGTAAAACTGTGCTTTTCTCCACATTGAAACTCATTTTGTTGGATAGGGCCCATTGTTCAAGTTTATCCAGTTCTTTTTGGATCCTGAGTTTATCTTCTGAGGTGTTGGATACTCCTGCCAATTTGGTGTCATTTGCAAATTTGAGTTTTTGGAACAATTCACAACCTAATGGCTTCCAGTCATGGTTAACTACATAACCCCACTAGTAAGATTCATAGAATCATAGCATTCAAAAGGATTGATGACATCTTCTAGTCCAACCCTGCATGCAAGGCAGGAGTCCTCTTACCATCTTGGACAAATGATGGTCCAGTTTTTTTCTTGAAAATTTCTATCTATTTATCTGTCTGTCTGTCAGTCAGTCTGTCTGTCTGTCTGTCTGTCTGTCTGTCTGTCTGTCTGTCTGTCTGTCTGTCTATCTATCTATCTATCTATCTATCTAATATGTGTGTGTGTGTGTGTGTGTGTGTGTGTTTACACACGGGCAAGGAAAGCAGCATGTCTGGCAAACAGAAGAACAGAGCTTGAAGCACACATGCTAGATAGCACAGCAATACAGAGGCAAACTAAGATGAATGAGGGGGTGGGGAGGGACGACTGGGAGCGGATGAACAGCGGATCTCCAGGCCCCCAGACATGCACAAAGAAAACAGCAGCAATTGGAGAGGAGAGGACAACTTTAGAAATGGCCCCTTTAAGAACTACACAGCCGATGCTAATAGGCGGACCTATGACCCGATCCAGGGTCAAAGCGCAGAGGCAGCCAGCCACATAAAAACGGACTCCCGGATCCAGCATTTTATACCCTGACGATGTCAGTAATGTGGCCGATGAAAGCTTGGTTTTATAGATTAAACATTTATGTTTATGATTTTATCCTGGTGATCACCTTATTCTACTTTATATATATATATAAATATATGTTTTCTGAGGTTTTCGCGGGTGTTTGTATGTAGGTTTTTGGTTATTCGGGTTTTCTCCCACGTAAAATTGGAAGTATCTTGGCGACATTTCGACGAAGTCCCATTCGTCATCTTCAGGCTGGTGTTTTCAGCTTCATGCTTCTAGGAGTAATGTGTGATCTTTGACTTATGTTAAACCATAATAAGCGAAACTATAATAAGCGAAATGATAGGCCTGACTACCTTAGTGCAGAACATGCTGAAGAAAAATAAAGGAGGTGGGAAGAAATGGGGTACATTTCTTCTATGTCTCAACTCTTGTTGCCAGAATTAACCCTTTGATCAGAAAGCAGAACTGATTACTAAAATGTATAAATGGCTCTTTAGCTTTAGGAGCTTTGGCTGTTTTTCTCAAAACTTTCCCCATCATTAAGTGCATGTATGGCAGACATTGCATCTTTAATGTACTATTATATAATGACAGATGTATTTCACATGTTTAGGGAATTTTTATAAAATCAACCAATGGTTGGCAATTTTCAACATTCCAATTTACATAACGTGCACAAGCATCCCTATTTACATACCCTTTGCTCTTTGTAGTTTCTCAAAAAGTTCTTCAGTCTCTGTCCCATCCCCATTTTGAATACTGATGCTGGTGAAGTATTTATTTTCTATTTGACCATATTGTTCTTCTCTTGGTCCTTGGGTGGTCTTTAAAATTTTATTTTGCACATTTTTCCTGGATAATTCTGAAGGTTGAAATAAATCATTATATTTTGAGTCAGAGAACAGAATCCTATAGAGAGAAAAGGGAGAAGAAAATAATCTGTTAGTTACACAATTTTGAAAATTATACCCAAGAAGTCTTTAATTCAGATTGATATACCATTATCCAGCTTAGGACTTTCTGATCAGCTAAGGCCTATGGCGTTTATTGCCAATTACTTCTCATGAGAAGAACTTATTTTTATACCTGTCAGTTATCCCTACAGCTTGCTGATAGGTGTCTCCTCGATGCAGGTTGTCACATTTTTCCTGCAGGTTTATAGGAGGATAAATATTCAATTCCCCTGGGAACATGGGAGGAGAAGAAAGGAAAGAATACCAGACACTGTTTAGAGCCAAATACTACAATAAATTACTTATTTGTAAATGGAAAAATACTATTTTAAAAATATTATTAAACAAATGTCCGCATGTTCATATTCTATGATTTGAGGAGATTTGATAGTGAGTCATGCCTTGCATTCCCGTAACATGCATATACATCCCATTAGATCAGAAATGGGGAATTATGGCCCCTTTATGACCTGCGGACTTCAACTCCAACAATTCCTGAGCCAGCATTCTAAATTTTCAGCGGAGCTTTAAACTACCAGATCATTCAAAGCATGGCTGGCTCAGGAATTCTGGGAGATGAAGTCCACAGTTCATAGAGGAGCCATAGTTCCCCACCCCTGCATTTGAACATAGGCTTGGTAAGAGATTACTGAGACAAAGACATAATAATGACCTATGTTCAAACTAGGACACTGGCTTAATGTCACTTAGCAAATCAGAATGTGATTGCATCCAAGCTTATTTTTCTAATTTGCCACTTGTAAGCATCTCTAACAAGCCATGTAGATGTCAAAATAACAAGTGTATCAGGCATCAACAAACAGTCCCACAAAAGGAATTAAAGTATACCACTTACTTTTCAAAAGATTTAAGAAGGCCTTGCTAAACCTCAGAGCATATGGCAATTCAAGCTTATCAACTCTGCCCATGTGTAATAGGTGCTGTTCCACTGGAACACTGGAGAGTTCTGTCATTTCGGAATCATCAGCTTCACTGCCAAGGGCCAAGGTGAACATGGTGAATCCTTGGCATTTAGCATCCAATGACATTTTTAGAAGTTTCTCTCTATCCCAGGCACTTGTCTTACTTCCCAGCATTGTAAAAATGACCTTGTGCTTTCTTGGCCTATCGACGCCCAAGAACACATTATTAATGGTCCATTCTAGGGCATGACCCACAGCTGATGGACCTTCCAGCTGACGAAGTGATTCCTGAATATGCATTTTCATCAGGTGCTTAGTGCTGTATGTAGTCAAGTCAAACTCTTCAGATACTGGGCTTGATAATTCAGTCCCTGAGAAATTTCGTGGAGCGTGTTGTACCAGAGCAACTCTTGCTCCTTTGTCTGACTCAAGTGGCAGGGAAGCAATAGCAAAATAATCCAACATGTTGCTCATGAACTCTTTCATAGTTTCAAACTCCTCACTGCTGACATCCCGAGAGCCATCCATGATATAAGCTATATCCATATTTATATTAATTGGAGGGGGATCCCTTATTTCACATTGTGAAACAGGATTACATGTATCTGTGGAAGAAGCACAAAGTAGTAACTGTTTCCATGGAGTGACTGAAAAGCTGAATATATAGAGATAATATTTTGATTGGCTTCTCTTTTATAAATGTTTCTTAGCAAATGAATTTGAAATTACCCTCCCTCAGAGATACAAGAAATGCTATGGGTACGAATGCTGGAAATTATAGTGTTGATAAATTTGAAGGAGACCTAGTTTGAGAAAGCATTTTAGGGCAGAACTTGATGCATGTTTTAAAAAAAATCTCTCTAATTTGATGTACTCATTCATCAAAACATAAACTACACATTTTCCTCTTTTTTCTTATATGCTGAGAATATTCTGTACATTAACTGGCTGAATGTATTTATTTCTTTTATCAAGAAATTAATTGATTTATCAGTTCAACTTTATTTTAAAAACTAGTAGCTGGGAGTATCCAGCGGCAGGATTTGAGTTTAAAAAAAGTCACTAGTGCCTGTGGAATTGAAACCATGTCCCTTTTTAAATTGTGTTACCAGCACAACACATATAAAAAAGGAAAGGGTTCAAACACACAGTTGTAACTGTCATCTTATTTTTGCTGCCAATGCCTCTGGTAGAAGCAATGGACATAATGAGTATCAAGTTATTTTATAAAATAAGAGTAAAACAATAGCCCAAACAAAAGCATTATACTAAAGTAAATGAAAATGTATCAAATTGCACAAAAATATTAGTTTAAATCATCCTATTTAACTTAACCATATCTTCTGTTCATAATAAACTAATTATATTATTTCTTTTAAAAATATTTTAAATAATGTATAAAAACCAAACAATGAATCATGGTCCACAGGTAGAATACCCTCTCCATATAATAAATATAGATTACACTTAAGGTTATGGTAACCTTCCAGTTTCAGACTTTCCACATATATTGGCTTACAATTTCCTTTTTTTCTTATTAGCATAATTCTCTGAAAGATTGTAATTTTGATCACTAAGCCAACTAAGCAAGACATCTTGGTTTCTAAATTTCCAGCTGAGCTTTATAGTACCAGACCATTCAAAGTCTTAGCTTCCATCTTAGTCTCTGGGGTAGGCAAGAGGAAGTAAAATCACTGAAATTATTTAACCTATGGACTGATGTTAGGATGCAGATACAAAAGGCCAAGAACTGCACTGTAAGTGTGCACCATTCATTCTATCATTTTTCATCATTGCTGTTTTTACCAAATACCTATGATCTTAACATGACATCTCCTTTTTGGTTAATTTTACCAGAGAATATCTGATGCTTGCTAGATCCATATACAAAGAGATGAAGGAAATTTGAATTCGGAAATTAAAAGACCTAGCAGGTATATATAACCATTTTAAGAAGTAATGAGAATCAATGAGCTCACCATAGCAGAGAGAACAAAGTGAAACATAATTCAATCTCTCTTCCTCCTTGGATTCCCAAACAAACAATTTAAATCGACCAGTATCATCTGTCTAGATAAATGAGAAGACAACATAGGAAGAAATGCATTGAAAATATTTTCTGAACTGCAAGGTATTTTATTTACACATGCACACACAGAAACACACACTTATGTAGCTAGAAAGGAATTTCAGAGGTCTGTTAAAGTACATTACTGGGAGGATATCAAAGTATTAGAATCAAAGGAAAGCTCCGGTTTGCTTAATAACAGGAAAGCAAATAATGGTAATAGTAATATGTATGCCATATTTTAGAAAGTGGAGTGGAAATCAAAAATATTCAGCTGGTGCTAAGAGCTTCCTTTTATTTTTATATCTTAATCTGATAATCTGGAATAAAGGGGATGTCCATCTTTCTACAGACTTTTCATAATAAACATTTTAGAATTATTATTTGTACTGCAAACTTCATAAAATTCTAAATTTCAAATGAGAAGATTCAGTTATCCCTTGGTTCATAATGGAGGTTCACATAAGTTTGGCTTCAAGTATGAATTAATAGCGTGTTTAGCCTTTCTTTGGCCTAGCTTAGTTCCTGGGGGAAGGGTGTGGTTTGCCTCCATATATAAAATCATCTGATGTCTCTCCCCAGTCCATTGCTGAATATTCCAGTTCAGAGGTTGGACCCCAATGGTCAGTATAATGCTAATATTTTCCACTCCTGGGAACTTGGTCATGGAAAAAAGTTGTCCACAAAAACACCTCCACTCCCCTCTATAATTAAATTCCATCCACCAGACAAGAACATGCACCATGCTCTAATTCACTCCTAATCTTAATTTAAATGAATGAATCTAGATTCACTTTCATATTTTCACAGAGATGCCCTATGATTCCCACTCTTTTGAAAGAAAAAGAGTTTTACATTGATGGAGAACATGATCAAAGGTAAATCAAGGTCATCCCAGGCATTATACATAGGGGGGGAAATCATGCCTTGCTAATACCCAAGCAAAATACTCCCTTCAGAGTTGGCTGGATATCTTTCAATATGGCCTGCTATTTTACATCTGGTTCCAAAGAAATTAATTATTTCCTTTACTGCTCTCAAGTTTACAACTTCTGAAACTAAACCAAAAGGATTAAAAAAAAACTGGCAAGAAATCAGAGTAAAATTCAAGATTCTGTAAAAATCATTATACATTTGGAATGGGAATCTAGAGTGCAATTTAGCTTTCTAAAATGCATCATACAACAATTAAAATGCAAGAATAATCCTGGATTAACTTCTATTTTTGCTATCCCCAGAATGCATTAATTACCTCATTGAGTTTGCATGTTTCTAAATATCACAAAAGAAAAAATCATGTCAAGTACAATGTTACTAAACAATTTCTGGGGTTGAAAGAGATTTATTTTCTTACTTATTGCCCAAATCCAATAATCAGTAAGGATAAGTTTTTGCTTCAGATTTTCTTTTACATATAACTAACTACAAAGGACCAAGTGAAAATGAATTAAGCGTTGTGATTGCTAATTTTATATTTGAAATAAGAACCTACACAACACAGACTAAGTTTAATAATCATTGCCCCAATGTATAGATAGGAGAGATAAAAAAGAAGTTAAGTTTCAGAAACAAGATGTGGGGTGTCAGAGAATGAATGGGGGTCTCACCCACTTTGGTCTCTGGACTCACACTGTTTCAATTGCTCGCTCTGGGAAATGAATGGTTGTAATTTATTTATTTGTATTTATTTGTGTTATGTCTTTATTATTTTTACAAATAACTCAAGGAGCAAACGTATCCAACATACCATCCTTCTCCTATTTTTCCCACAACAATAACTCTGTGAGGTGAGTTGGATTGAGAGAGAGTGACTGGCCCAAAGTCACCCAGTTGGCTTTCATGGCTAAGGCATTGTACAACATTCACACACATTCAGAAAAAAAAAATTGAGAGCGCTCCCATCAGGAGAAAATATTTTCTAAAAATATCATCTGGAAAATATTTCTAGACAATGGAGAGGAGTCAGAATTTAGTTATACTCTGATGGTAATTTCTGAAATATCATATCAAAGTCCAGTTGCCGTGACTCAATTTCCAGACAACTCTATCTGGATGACTGGAAATCTTCAGTGATAAAATATGTCAGTCACATCCACATTGCTACTAACACCTCTCTGACCACACTCCCTCATCAACCTGCCAGTTATTTTTTCTGACGATGACCTCCTTACCAAAAATGCTTCTCTGACATTTGATGTTTCTCTCAAAGCAATGACTGCCGGGATAATATCTAAAGCGCTGAATTCCAGCACAGCTGTATTGATGGAAGCAGCATCTTGTGATGGGCCAGCAGTAAGGAAAACAGCAACTTTTTTTATAAGAGCCCCTTGGCGATGACGTTTAAAAACATTCCTGGCAACAAAGCGCATGGCCCTTCCGATATTCCTTTGGCCTGAAGACCTCTCCAAAGGAATTCCCTGTACTGCCTCCATAAGGAGATCTTTCCTCTGAAAGTCGGAGAACCGGATGAGGTACTTTATATTGGTATTGTATGAAAGCACTGATATCCTAGCACCAGTTGGGCAATTGCTTCTGCTAATGCTCAAATCCTTCAGCAAAGACTTCATAATGTCTTTCATCCTTTCAAAGGAAACTGGAGTAACATCTTCAGACATGTCAAGAGCGAACACCACTTCAGTTGGGTAAACTGGACATTTGCTCTTGCCTTATAATAAAAGTAAAAATGTATCAGAATGTTTCTTGGACTTAGGGAGCACAACTTTTTTTTCTTAAATATGATCTAATTCAAGTAACTTACCTACACAGCAAGCTGGATGGGATAAAAGAAAGTTGTTTTAATTCAAATTGTTATACTTATTTGACCATCTACACACTGTCAATAAACACAACAGAGAATTTGCTCTGAGCATGTTCTTTGTTCCAATATCCAATGAAAAACTGGCTTCAAATTGGTTTTGATAAAAGCATTACAAAAAATTATATCACAATGGTAGTATACCTTTTTTAAGCCAAAGTATATGTTAAAATTTAACTAAGCCATTAAATGGCTTTGAAAAATTTGCTACTGTTTTGTTTAAATATAAAATATTAATGTAATTTAAGGGAATAATCGATTTAATTTGGGAATCAAATTTAATTTAAAAAAGCTAACATTGTTTCCTTTAAAACAGGAAAATTGTACTAAAAGTTCACACTTTCCTTCTTTTTTATCTTCATTGTGACAATTCCCATTTATCATCTACTATAACCAATGTATAATGATCTTTTTATAATATCATCAAAGACTTATTTCACTGCTAGGTTGCTGTAGTTCTGCCTCTCTTCAAAGTAAACTCAAGGAATATGCTTTCTTCTAAATCTGTAGAGTTGGGGATTAAATAATTTAATACAACCAACCAAAACAAAATAAGTGCCTTTCTTAAACCTGATAATAGTTTTAGTAGTAATAGTAGATACTGGTAACCTGAAGTTACTACTTACGGCAGTTTCCTCTTGTAAGGTTCACAAGTTGACAAGT